TACACATAGACACATACACCACAAACAGCCAACTACTTTATGGACTTAAGATGGAAAGAAAAACATCCATATTGAATTACCCAATAAAAAAAGTGAGAGAGAAGGAACTGGATTGCTTTTCAAAACCACATTTGCGTTGTATGATTTTTTTGTGGTGAAATTCAAGATTTTGCAATTTTTGGGAGAAAATACAGACTAAACATTGACTCTCCCACAAATAAACATAAACCCTAAATAAAACCAAAAGCATTATATGAAGTCTATTTTAAATAATAGACAATAAAATTTTATTTTTTAAAAATTATAAATGAAGTTGGTGTAAGCGTGGTTGCCTTCAGACTCACCTGCAGGCATGCATCCACCAAATTTTAAATAGTCTTTAAATCCAGCTCCATATCAATTTTGACAATCCCACCTAGATGAACAGATAAAATACACTGATCTTTCCTTTAATTAACAGAGGATATGTTAAATAGCATCTGTGGGAGGCCCCTTCAGAAGAGGCATGCAAGACACACGTACTCTATCCAAACCTACTCCATTTAAAAAGGGCAAACAATCTCAGGGGGATGGGGGAGGGCAGGAACTATCTGTGATACTGACTAGTAGCTTTAAATATAGTTTATTTTCTTCAAATGTAGCTGGAATCAAATGTCTTTCTGTACATAGAAAATTCAGTGGGGTAGGAACAGCTATTTTAGGGTTGAAGGAAGGTCAGCAGAACACAAGACAAGCATTGGTGTTCCAAGGCTCTTGTAAGGATGCTAAACTTGACAGGGCTTTTTAGGAAAATGCATTTTTACTAAAGAGATGCTGACAGAGGACTTCATAATGATTAAATGCATTAAATGAAAGACTCCCTTTTTGATTAGCAATGTGACTTTTCTATTGCTTGGAGCTGTGTTATCAGGAATCTTTTTCATAATAAGCAGTAGAAAAAAGATGGTATCTTTACTTTTAGAGTTTGGAGGTTCTTTATGGGGGGAGGGAGAACTTTTGGGTTTGTTTGTTTTAAATTAAATGAAATAATATTTTAATGTATATGTGCAAATAAGGTGATAATTGTCTTTTGAAAAGAGGATTTTAAAAAAAGCTTTAAATGCACTGACTTTCATGGTCAAACTAAGGCTTAGGACACACTCTAAACACAGGTGCAGGAGCTAATCTCTTCCACTCTCCATGCAAGGAGACTATCTAGCCATGCTCCTGTTCCTCTATAGCTGGTAAGCGCAATACTTACTGTGAAGGTGGTGAGGCACTGGCACAGGATGCTCAGAGCTGTGGATGTCCCATCTCTGGAAGTGTTCAAGGCCAGGTTGGATGTGGCTTTAAGTAACCTGGTCTAGTGGAAGGTGTCCCTCCCCCTTGGAAGGGGGTTGGAACTAGATCATCTTTTAAGTTCCTTCCAACCCAAATCATTCTGAGTTTCATACAGAATTGAAAAGGGGAAAAGCATACTATTTTTTAATTTTATTTTTTATTTTAGCAGCTTTGCATTGTCTGCTGCACTGCCTGACTTCCCTCAGTTCCAGCTGCATGTTCACAGTAAAGAAATTAGATATATTTTGCTCTTGGCAATCTTAAAATAAGTATGTATGTCACTTACCCCTTCATGACTGCACACCAGTGATGCCAGCACTGGTGTCACTGCCTTCCAAGAGATTCCACAAGATCAACCTGTGCCCAGTTGATAAACTGGGCCAGGTTATCAGTAGTGCCACAGAACTCCCAGCAAGCTGTTTTAATTTTATCTGCTCTCAGTATCCTCCCAGGTGCTGATAAGGCCCAGCAGCTTCCTGGAGCACAGTTCCTTCCAGACTAGGTCCTCAAAGAGCGCACAGCCAACACTGCCACTCTGCTTAAAAAAGAACAGTCTTGCTCTGATGGAGATCCCAGCTGACCACTTGGACAGGTGTTTGGGTGGCACAGCTCAGTAGAGTTTCTTCAACTAGAGAGCAGTAATATACTGGGCTGTTTGCAAGCAAGGTGCAGCTCAGACCTTCTGCTCCTTCAGACCCAGTGCCCAGGAGCTGCTCTTAATTGAATCGGCTTTTGAAGGACTTCAGTGTGGGCCTTTCCATGTCAAGTAAAATCAACCTTTTCGTAAAACCACTTCCAAGGGCTGAGAAAATACTTTGAGAATGCCACAAAAAACATTGATTTATTTTCTTAGACTTTTTACAACTAAGTTTAGAGTGATGGATCCAATTGTCTTGCTGGTTCCCTTCAAGGATTAATTACACAGAAACCTGCACCCTTAATTAGGATGTTTGTGATTCACATTTCTGAGCACATGAACATGAATTGGAAGATTTAGTTCTGCTAAAAGTCACACAAGCCCAGGATGTGGAAAACTATCATTGGACAGCTATATTAAACAGCAGTAAAGCACAACTGAGGGAAATTAAACTTCATGTTACCTGTTCCTTGAGATAACTGCAAAGACAATATTCTGCTTTACTTTAAATAAATCCAAGAAATGGAAAATGAATATGGACCACCAAACTGCACGACTGTAAACACAGTGCAACATAGTTTCTCAATGAGTGAAGTCTTCACGTTTGAAGGAATCTAGGACATTGCTGGTACTCTTGATCTCTACCATGATATTCTTGCAGTCCAACTATCACCATGGGTTTTGATCTTTTACCAAAAATCTCAAGTTTTCAAAGGAAGCAGGAAGTTGACCCATGCTACGTGAAGAGATGAAGCAAGTATTTTCCAAGTCTAAACTTAATGTCTATTGCTTTGCTTTCTGCAGACAGAGAAGACTGCATTCTTACCCATCTGTTTTATTTTTTTTTAGTCCTACATGTCTATGTGTGAAATCTTGAAAAAATTGAGATTTAGCTGCCACTTTTTACTTATACCAAAGGGATTTAGGTAGATCTGCTAAAAATAACTGTCCATGACTTACTAAAAGTAATTGTGGCTGCTATGACTGAGGAATTGTCATCCTACATAATCTCTTGAAGACAAACCTCAATGAACAGTGAATGAAATTGTTTTTTGGGACTCAACAACAGTAAAGAGGCTATGAGGATCAGCACGTCAATGAAGCACAGTAATTGTTTCACTGTGCTTATTATCTAGTGCCTAAAGAAACTGAGAACACTCAGCTGCTAAATAAGCAGTGATAAGCTGTCAGAGCAATTTTGTGCACTAGAGAAGATAGAATTCTCTACAATACTGCTCCTGGAGGACAGGGGAATTTCAACCAGCCTAGATGTCTCATGAATAACAATGCAAGGACAAAGGGCAAAAATGAGAGGTTCCCACCCAAACTCTTCACTGTGATGTACCACAGTCTGCTCCATGTCCTTGTTCTGCACAGGTGGAAGATAGTCTCTACCTGATGTTTAGCTCAGGTTACAACTATCTGTGGTTTGATTTTATCAGTGTCCATAAGTACCCAAAAGTGGGCATCAAGAAGAAGGATCCAGGCTCTTCTTGGTGGTGCCAAGCAACAGGACAAGAGGCAATAGGCAGCAACTGATGCGCAGAAGTTCCCCCTGAATATGAATAACTTCTTTAGTGTGTAAGTGACCATGCACTGGAACAGACTGCCTAGTGAGGCTGTGGAGTCTCCTTCACTGAGGATATTCACCAACCATCTGGACACAATCCTGGGCACTGTGCTCTAGGGTGACCCTGCTTGAGCAGGGAAGTTGGACCAGATGACCCATTGTGGCCCCTTCCAGCCTGACCCACTCTGTGATTTCCAGAAGTCGATGTGATGAGCTGTGGCCCACTGGGGACAGTGGCATTTCTCAGGCCAGGTTATTGTTGAATAGTGGGAATTGATGCTACTCCACAACCAGGGCTCATTCTCAGTCCATCTGCACAGAAACACCTGGAGAATACGGAAGCACCCAGCACCTTGCCTTCGTTGACAGTCCCATTTCATGTAGCTCCAGCCCTAACACACACCCTCTACACACCTAAGCCTTGCTCATTTCCTTTCCCTAGCCAACCATTCCTGTTCTCTGGTCATGATGAGTAAGCAGATTTGTTACAGAAAAGGCCCAGTGTGTGAAACCCTTACTGAGTTGCAAAGAATTACTAAGAAATTCTAAGTTGAGATTGTTAATATTAACACAATGAAGATTATGTAAAAGAAAATATTTTACATAATAAAATATATTGGTTTTCAGCTGAAGGCTGATACACGTGTAGGCTTTATGCCTGCATCACTTTTTAGAATCTTCTGCCACAAAACAAACGGACTTTGCATGTGTAGTCCGCAGCCCTGCAGCTACCTAGCACAGGGAATTTCTTATGGATCTTAAAAGACAAAAAGGCAATTTAAGGTGCTAGGAGAGACCAGAAATGAACACCCTGTGACAGCCCTTTTTGAAACTTTTGCCATTTGTAGAGGCAAGATTCGTAGATCTCTTGTCTTCTTGTAGAGCAGCAGAGTGATGCCTTTGCAAGGCTGTTTTTCTCCTCAGGATGCAGAAGCAGATCTTTCTCAGGTTTTCTTGGATGAAAATGTATCCACCACAGATCTTAAGCAACCCAGAATTTTCTGCTTTTAACAACTGCCATTCTTGTACATAGTCTTCTGCAAGAGCTATTGGTACAATAAATGCTGTAAAAAAGGTTTTGGTACTATACTCTTGAGATATGACATGGATTGACTTGAGTAAACTCTCATACTTTTAAACATTTTCCCCTATTTTCATACATCCCTGGAAAAAAAAGTTAAGTCTGTAAACAACTTCTTTTTTTCTTCCCTCCTTACCAAATATCAATTAATGCAAAACCAGCACATTTATCTAGATCATAAGAGTTGCAAAACTGAGTCTGATGACCACCTATATCTGATGGTTCTGCTCTTTTACACATATCCTCTGATTAACTGCATATATTTCTGAATTCAGAGGTAGGATTAAAAAAGACAATCATCAGTATTAACTATGAGATCCTGCTAACAGTAGTCAAAATTAAATGCTGAAACAGAAAACAAAAAAAATTCACAAACAAATATTACACCTTAAGAAAGTTGGATTCATTAGAAGTTTATATTTTTGTTTTCTTCTTCTAGAGTTAAAAAAAATTAACAATTGTTCAAGTACACAATTTAAAAAACAGTGGCTTATGATTGACACATTTTCAGTCAATTTTCTAAATTGCTTAAACAAAATCAAACAATTCCTAGAGTTACAGCAAATCAACAGTCATACAAAGACATCTACAGTGCAATATTCTAACTCATGCTTACAGCTTCACAAAATGGCAACATAATTGATTTAAGTGTAATCTGTGAAGCATGTTGCACTATGATGCAGACCAGTTTTAGGATTCCAGCCATTTTCTGCTAAGAGGCTTAACAGGAGTAAATGAGGAGTTTAGATCTATGGCTTCTCCCAAACAGGGATGCAGATGGCAGTTTCTTCTTGCAAAGACAGCCCCATTTCCAAATCAGCCCAATTGACAGCAGCCTAATGAGGGGCAATGGAATCTATACCACACAATTTGTGTTATGTAAATGATGATGTGCTGCTAGAACAACAGTGGAAAAACAGAAGCAAAAAAATCAGCTCTTTTTCCTTCCACTTATGTGACTCATTGAAGAGACACACTCTTCACTAATTGCTTTGGTAGGCCAGCAGGCTGCCTGTGCTTAATGATTCTATTAGGAATTCCACAAGCTTTCAGCTTCTAACACTAAGCACTTCCAACACGTGCTTTTTAAGAGTGAACCTCTGAATTCTTTTTCTTTTTAAAAGATGCTGTTTCTCTCACTTCTTCCCACTAGCTGCTGCATCAGGCATAACAATACACAAATATGCAACATGCACTTTAAACTGGACACCTGTCTGTCCCAGGAAAACTTAACACTTACAGAGCACCTCTGCTGACAAAATGGCATTCAGAGCAACTCTGAGTTCACAAATAATAGAAAACTATCTCTCTGACATGACTGCTTCAGGCTTGCCACGTACATCCATCCACCTGCACTATCTCAAGGCTCAACAGCTCTTCATTTTACGGTCTGAGTTGTGAACATGCACTGAAATTCCCTTTTCATACTTACAACAGAAAATGAAGAATCTAAACATCAGATAGCATCATATTTGTCCTTCTTTACACTTAATTTGACTCCACTTTTAGGCTAGGGCAACACTCTTTTCAAATATGGTAATCCATAAAAAAGAAACAAGTAGACAAGCATTCGAAAGATGGCTGGCTTTTGTCCTGGAGGCTATTTAGAAAAAAAATCATGTAACATTTAAAGAAAAGATAACATTGCTGTAATTCAACTAGTTTTCTCCCTTATTTGTTTTATGCAGTAGAAAATATAATTATCGGCTTCCTACAAACAGCTGACATTTTGGTTAGATTGGAGCTGGACTGGGGACAACCAGAGATTTAAATCCAGAACCAGTAAGGGCATTAACATGCTCAAACTGCAGCTTCCCAAACATCTGCTTAGCAGCCTAACTGTCCACATAAAGGGATTCACTGAGCCAGAGAGGAGCTGTGCATGAGCCCTACAATATTGGCCTGGACAGCAGCTTGAACAGAGTAGGCTCAACATCAGATCACTCCCTACAGCTTTTCTTTCCCTCCAATGCCCATGAAATCTCTGACACAGTGAACTTTTAGTCAAACTGGAAATTCTACTGTTATGTTAGCAAAGGCATCACTGCTCTATAGCCTCACTGCTACGGTATTGTTAACAGGATAAAAAATTGACAGTTCAAACTGTTAAGCAAAGTCACAAACTAAACAAGCCTTATACATCATTACCTGGCACCCCCACCTCTAGACCTGACTATTTAGTCAGCTCACAATCCTCCTTCTGATATTGCTCCAGTCTCATGAGACACTAGCCATCTTCAAGAAACAATTGCAAGGAAAGAAACACTGCTAAAAACTACCTCTGGACAAAGACAGGGCAAGATGATGACGACCAAAGGAGGGAAGCAGAGCCCTGCCATCTGCATTCCAGGATTACTTGTAAAGGCAGCTCTGTGACAAATACAATTTGTTCTTGGCATGACTGTTTTTGTGGTTCTTTATAGGCACCAAATGTATCTAACATTTGATGCAAACTCTTGTACACAAATTTGGATTCCAATATTGCAGTTGACACAAAATTTTAGGAGGTGTGATGCTCACAGTAGTGCTGTGAAGTCCGTCATGGATCAGTTTCTTCTACCACAGTCTCCAGGAAAACTAAAGATGTAGTTACTACAGGTATGCCACAAGATTACATTACTCCACAGCATCAAGAACCTCCTGCACCTTAAAAAGCACAAGAAATATTGCAAGGAAGAAGAAAAAGTTATGCTGGTGACTGTGTACATGGAAAAACAATCTGCATATCAAAGTGAAGAAGCATCTTCTGATCAAAGTCTCCTTCATTCCCAGATCACTTTGTACACAGGGTCTCCAACTTGAATCATTCCAGTTTTGTCAACAGCAAAGTATTTCCCAAAGAGAGGGCTGGTTTTGTAAATGTGTTTCTCAGATGGGTCACATAAGCGATAACTGCAAAGAGAAAGCCCTTCTTTAGAATAAGTGGTAGCAAAAACTACACATGAAAATATCAGTGATGAAAGAGAGGACATGCAAATAATGATGCCTTGCCTTGATCATCTTACTAGGCTAAAAACTAAATAAATATTTTAGTTAAAAGGCCCAAGCAGCTCAAATGGAGGGAAAAAAGCCTGACTGTATTCACACATTCATGTTTATTATGTACAAAAATCTTTTTATAAAGGAAAGTCAAAGAAGCAAAGTTAGACTTTTAGATACCTTAAATACCTGCTACCCCAAGCTTTCACTGCAGCAGGTATGACAGAGACAGGGAATGTGAAGTTTGCAAGAAAGAAAAGAACGTCCTGAATTTCCTTACCACACAGAACTGCAAGAAGTAGACTGGAAGACAATACACACAGACCTTCACACTGCATTATTATGTCCCACACACACTTCAAACCACTTCTAAAACACTAGTCTAACATCTGTCAGGGTCTAGCCTAAATCCTCTCCAACAGTCTAAGAAACACTGGTATTTTTATAACCTTTTCAATGTTTCCAAGGGCTCCTTCCTGTCGATGACCCCAGTGTCTGGATTAACAGTTGTTAAAATACACCTGCAATGACAGATAGTGCCAAATCACACAGGGCTTCTTATCATAAACCTCTTTGTTCCTATGTAAAATAAAGGTCTCCAATGTTTACCTGCCACAACACACAGTCCCTTTCATCTCCACATCACCAATAAGAATATCCTCCCAGGTGTCCTAAGGGAAGTAAACATTAGGCACATATTAGACACAAGCATATGCAATTACTTTTCCAGAAGTAGCACAGTCATTCACAAAAAGGTGCACCATTCCAGATGATCACCTTTACTAGCACCTTCAAAATATACATAGTTACTACAGTACTATAATGAAAACCCTACTGTCACTGCATTTATCCAATTCAGGATACTAATAATTCTATCTGAAAAGAGACACACAAGTAATGAATCCTGTTCTGCAACATACACTTGTCTGAAGCACTGAACCTAAAGCAATTTGCTCTTGCTTTAGGTTGCTTGATCTGTGGCCTCTGGTAAATCTACAGTTTTGTAGAAAGGAAATTTTCAGGGCAAGTAAGTTTTTGCTTCTCATCTACACAAGCTTGCTATTGCAAATCCTCCCGGGAGATAAAAATCCATTCCGGCTTTAGGAGCTTTTTCAGTTTGAGAAATAATCATTTACAGAACTGTGACCTCCATCAATGTTCTACATGCACTGATGTGAGCTGAAGCTTTATCTCTCCGGAACTCAGCAGTAAAAAGCACAGAATAGCAGCTTTCCTCACCCTTGTTGGCACCATCACACAAAGCAAGTGAGTTACAAAGAAACAAAAGCAAGCCTTCTAAAAGACATTTAAGACAGTTATTTTACCTCCTCAAAAGCACTGCAGTCTGTTACAAAAACATTTGGCCTGAAGTTCTGTATCTTAGCTTTCTTCTCCAGCCTGGTATTTAGATCGTCCATTGAAGCTTCAGAGATGATCAAGACTGGGCTGCAGTCAGGATAGGCAACCTAGAGAAACAAACACCACCAAATCCTAAGGTAAGGATGTAAGAGCATGGGAGGAAAGTCACTGCACGGCAGAAGACAGATGTTGGAACCAGTGGCCTTTAGGCTGCTCTGTTCAAGTTCTGATTTTCCTGAAAGCAGGTTAACAAGGAGAACAACACGCTCTTCCCTATTTCAGTCACCATGGCATTTTTTGCGTGCTCAAACTGCCTCATCACAACACCAAAGGGAATTTTACATCCAGAACAATCCATAGTCAATTACAGCTGTCCATACATGAGTCTGGGATGCCTGGGCAGTGGGAGGGCCATATTAGGAAATAAGGCAAATTAACAGTATTTTAAAACCTGTAAACCTCCAAGAAGTGGAGTTCCACACAGCTGGGGGCAGAAACAAAAAAAGACATTTTGGTAAGAATTTTAGTATATAAGCCTCCTGCCTTTCTCTTATATTATTCTTACTCCATTCTTGTACATGCCTTTCAACCACAAGACAATGAGCATTGAAGTTACTATGCAAAAATTCTGCCTTTTCTTTCTTGCTATGATTCCAGAACATCACCCCTCCGAATCTGACATCTCTTTTGCTGAAACATTGTGTCTGTATTGGTCTCAATGCCTTTATATAACAAATTCATATCTATAGAAGTCTATAATTGAATATACCTTCTTCTCTTTGTGCAACAACAAGCAAAACACTGATGCCCTACAAATAATAACATCACTAAAGCAAGGTACTCACAATTTCAATTTGTTTAAAAACCTCTTATATCTTCACCTGGGAGAACTGTTCAGAAAAAAGAAGGGCAGTAGTGGCTAAAATGATATAAGGATGTCTGAGCAGAGCATCTCCTTTCCATGACATTTCTCTAATATCATACCTTCAAGCCTCTTCCAGAGAAAGAGATAAAACCTCTGAAACTTCCTTTGAATTTTAATTCCTAGGCCCACAACTGTAACCAGCCTGTTCAAACATCATTCCTTTGAACAAAAATACAATGTAACACAACTTGTATCAGTCCCTATCCCAGACCTAACAAGGGATAGGGAGTGGAATCTTTCTATGCAACACAGATTACACCATCAAAACATCATTAAAGATGTAATTTTTTTCTATTCACTGAGACACAAAAGGGTATTGTATTCTGCAATGTAATAGTTCCTCTTCAAGTATCAGTTTCAGACTCTTTAGATGTGAATGGTCAATAGTTTAAAATCAATTTGAAGTAAAAATTAAGCAAGTCACCTCTTTACAGAAAAGAATATTCACATGGTTTGATTACACAACTACACACCTTGCTAAATTAGGCTCAATCACCAAAGATGGAAGCGGCAGTTTCTGGTGGGTGTGTGGAAACAGTTCAAAGAACATACTTCTGAGAGAAAGTGCTCATTTACCTCATCTGTGTTTCGGAAAAGGGCTATTGTGTCCTTTGACTTTCTTGGCACCATGGAGGGCTCAAAGTGCACCAGTCGACAGGGCTCTGAGTTCAGGAAGGTGGTGATCCACTGAGCCACTTCATCACCACAGTCTCTGCCTTGGATATCCTGTCCAAACACCCTGGAGAGTCATAACACATCAGCAAGTTAGCTGGAAACATGAAGGTTCAATGAAGCTTCTTATTCAAAGGTAAGAAACATGTTTTAATAGTGGTAGCAATATACAGAAAATGAATCATTCACAAAGGGCAATCTCCTTGTAGCCACTGTGTTTTGAAAGCTAAGGAACATGGACATGACCAGACAGTATCAGCTGGTGAAAGAATGAGGACTGAAATAGTGTTAATGTGCCCAGACCTGACTGCCCCATCAGTGACAGTAACAAACCAACCTGCTCGCCCTACTTTGAGGTAAAAGGGGCCTGCTCTTGCATTTGCACATGACTGCTGCAGCAAATGATTTCTACTGAGAAATCAACTGAGAGGTAACTTATTTCAGAAAATGAATGATAGTTTGAAATTATGTGATTAGTTACCACAACTGATATGTATAAATGTTATTAATTAAAAGTGTCCCTAATTGTTAAGGAAATTTTCCTTCGGATTTTAATTCTGTCAAACTTTAGCCAGAGATGAGTGAGACTCTTCAGCTCAGACTTCACATACAAAATAGCTCAGTATCTTAAAGGAGGTTGAAGATTTGTACTGGAAACAAAGTCCATGGGGCACAAAAATCCATTGCCAGTAGAATACAAATAAGTTTATGTAAGGACCATTTTCCTGGCAAGAACAGCTAAACCTTGATTCAACCTTTCAGTAAACTTTAACACCAGTCATAAGTAGTTTTTTTACACTTTTCAAAGTAGCCATTTTGACCCAAATGTGCTGCAGTTTCCTATCTGCAATCAAATCCTGGGCAGCTTGAAGCATTGAGATGCCCATGCAGGTCATCTAAAGTGAGCCCAGCTCCTAGGAGCCCTTCTTTATTCATGTGGGGGAGTGATCATTAGGGTGCTGGCAGCAATATCCCTGCTCCATTTGCTGGGATTCCTGTGTCTACCCTGTGAAATAGCAATGACTTAAAGGTCATTGCTTCAGACAGCATTCAACTGCCTTTCTCCTCCCTCCATCCCATAGTTCTGCGTGCTTTCTGATTGGCAGGACAACAGAGGCAAGGCTTTTACAGCTTCCGACACTACTGCTTTCCACTCAGGAAGTGGATCTATCCTAAGCACTCAGTGCTGCAGAGATCCATGGGAATAGATCATACAATTTAAGCGTTACAAAGCACACTGACAAAGGCACAGATGAAGAGCATGAGGTTTCTTAGCCAGAGGGAAGCACTCTAGCATCTGCACAAGCAGAAAACATACCTATACAATGGCTTTGGTCCTATATTTGACTCTCCCAAGCACAGGATTTTTAAATACCTATATAAAATTTACAAGTAGACTTAGTAGTTTTCAAGATCAGCACATGCACAGCTGAATGCAGGCAGAGGCTCTAAGGCACTGCTTTAGCTCCAGCTTACAGGGCATGAGCTCCCATGAGCACCCATCTGAAGGCAAATTTATTAAGGCAAAGAAAGGGAAAAAAAACCATAAGAAGAACATATCACTGAGCTCTAAAACTGAAAAATCCAAGAAATCCAAGCTAACTTTTCATTACTGCAATGTATTAGGCTATTTAAATATTCTTTTAGTGACACAACAAATTTTAGAAAAATGACATCTCGCAAACTGCATTGTTTTGCAGTGCATGTGCCATTGGATAACACACAGGCATTATGCACAGGTTTGTAAAAGCCTGTTCTATTTCTCTAGGAGAAATGCTACCATTTGGAACTTGCATCTGCCTTGTATAAACAGAGATACTGAGCTATGCTGATCAAAGCTTTCCACAGCAATGGACTTATGATAAAAGCAAGAAAATACAGTTCCTTACCAGCACTCTTAGTTACTATTACAGCAGTTGGTACATTAACCATCTCTGCTATCCAAAGAACAAACACTCACAGTATCTTTGTAGGGCCTTACACCACTTACAGTTCCTAAACACTTATGTATTAATTGACATTTTAGCAGAAAAAAGGTTTTCCTCTTCCTGCTGGCAGTTTTCCAGCATGGATTTTTATACATAGATAAAATAACTAGGCCTGCAGTCACACAACAAAACTCTCAGCACAAAGCTAAATCATTGTTTGTAACCCATCCACCTGAAACTCCTTTGGGGTAGCACCTAACAGGGAATGCACTAAGTCCTTGGGATGGCAGTCTTTGCCTTGTGACCTCAGGGTGAGCCTTGGACTACCAAGTTTTCAACTGAGGCACCTCAGTTAAATGGTGAAGACAGGGGCCAGGGAGTCTAAACTCTAACATCTCACCAGCTCTGAATGGCCAGTGTGCAGGCAGAAATGCTGATGCACATAGTAGTTGTGTTCAAGAAATACCAAAGTGCATGATGGAGCCTCTGAGATGCAACTGCTCACCCAAGCAAGAGCAAAAACACTAGCAGTAAAAACAAATAAGCAAACACAATGTTCCATGCAGACAGAAGATCACAGTTCATTTGGCAGATGTGTAACCCATGGTCTTTGATACTGTGTCATCTTTTCCAAAGATTTGTTTTTATCAGTGTTTAGCAGTTTAAAGTGCTTTTGTTATGACAACCATTCCTGGCCTCCTGTGTAACATATGGCAGAGAATTTCACAGAATTACAGAACAGTCTGGATTAGAAGCAACCTTAAAGACCACCTAGGACAACTCCCCTAGCATAAGCTGAGGCACCTTCTACTAGACCAAGGGCCCCATCCAAGCTGACTTTGAACACTTCTAGGGATGGGGCATCCACACCTCCTCTGAGCAACCTGTGCCAGTGCCTCACCACCCACACAGTGAAGAATTTCTTCCTAATAGCTAATCTAAACCTACTAACACCACTGTGCCTTGTCTTGTCAGTACAGACTCTGGTTTGAAGTCTATCTATCTTAAGCAGACAGTGAGAAATACCCACACAGAAAAGGCATAGAGGTACTAAACTTTTACACTCTAATTTCTGCATAAGAAAATGCAAAGCATTTCATATTACATACACAATCCTGAAAAGAAAAGCACATGAGAATGACAGCACTGAGAGAGAGGGAAGGGGGAAACAAAAACTCTTCTTCAGTACCTGCAGTTGCGGACGGGATTTTTCTTGGAGAGCTTTACGGGCACGCTTATCTTCTCCATGTCCCCGGCCTCCAAGATCAAGTTCCCGTTTTCACAGTTGGTAGAAATAAGGACGAGCCGCGGCTCCTGGCGAGCTGTCACCATGTGCCCGTCCTCCCTGATCACGAGCCAGAACCTGCGGCGGGACGGGGCACAAAGAGCCCCAGAGTTAATGCGGGGCTCGGCAGCACCCGCGGGGCAGGTGCTCCTTCCCAGGCCCTCAGGAAAACAAACACCCGACAGCCGCGGCGCCAGGCGGAGGCCCCAGGCCCCGGCCGGCCTACCTGTCCCGCAGCTCCCCGCTGCGAAGGCCCATCGGCGTCACCTGCGCCCGCCGCACCGACACCCCCCGGCACGACTTCACCGGGTACACGAAGAGTCTGAGCACCGTCCCGACCCGCTGCAGGCGGCGGTGGCGGCGCGGGACGGCCCAGCGCCAGGCCCCGAGCAGGGCGCCCAGCGCCAGCAGCGCCGCCGCCCCCCAGAGCCAGCCCTGCCGCGCCGGGCCTGCTGCGCCCCACAGGCCGCTCATGGAGACTCGGCCCCGCTGCGCGCCCGAAGCGGCCGTGGACGGGAACGGGGGCGGCCCAGCCCGGGCCCCTCACACGGCCCCGGCCCCGGCCCCGGCTCTGGCCAGCGGGGGCTGCCACCCGCCCCGGCGCTGCTGCAGGTCGGGCGCAGCGCGGAGCCGCGACCTTCTGTGCGAGAAAGGGGGCGGCGCAGCGGGGAAAATACACGGCTGAGCGCCCGGCTTGGCAAAGTACCGGTGAATGATGTGTTCCGTCTGATACCCGGGCTTTTAGTGAAAGCAGCGTTACAGGAAGTGTGGTCTTTATGGGAATACACAAGTGCGTCAAATCCATGCGTTGGGTTTGGCTCGGAGAAGAGGGGAACAGGTGGATGGAGGCGTGGAGGGCAGCAAATGGGGTGTCCAGTGCTGCTCGACCACCTTGGGACATCTACACACCCCAGCTGCCTGGTACCAAACTGCGAGACCCCTTCTGAGAGCTTCCTGTTTGCTGGCAGGGTCTCAGGGAAGTTGCTTTGTGGGATACCCAGCTGCAAGGCAAATAGGACAGGCTGGAGTGGCAAATGTCACTGTTGCTACAGGTCTGGTCTCACAGGCAAAGTAAGAGCTTTGGGATGTGATGGCCAAACTCACAAACTGAAATTTTTATGATAAGTGTGCTGAGAGCAAAGTCCCAGAATGCAGAAGATGGGGAAACTCAGTGTTGGGCATTTCTGGGGAAGATTGAGACAGCCCAGCAACAATGGAAGTACTCCATCAGCAACATCCTGGTGGAGAGGGACATTGAAAATGAGGCTATTGTAAAATTTTTTGATAAGAGATACGAGTGAGCAATCAAGCTCCTCACACTGATCTCAAGAATCACAGACCAGGATCGGAAATTTTTCCTGTGAGTGGGAATCACCACAGATTGTAAAAAGTATTTTGGGATTTGTGAAAACCTGCTGGTGGATGAAGACAATGTGATGGATGACAGAAGCAAAGGCAGTGACAGCAGATCTCTCCCTATTGGCATGACCCCAAAACCTGATCTTCCTCATGGGCAAGAAGGGAGTCCACAGAGGAGTCCTTAATTAAAAGGACTGGGATATGACTGTGAGCAGGAAATCATGACACAAATAGTGCCAAAGAGACAGACAGCTGCCTGAGCACAGAGAAGGGACTTAAACCTGGTTTTGTTGCAGATGTCTTTGGCTGCTTCTTTCAGATGAGAGGTGCTGGCAGCACTGCTGGGATACCAACAGTCCACCTGAGTAGGTGTGGTACAGAAGTGTGTGCATTCTTCATCAGGAATGCTCTGAATTACTTTTGTGGTCTCTCAGCCATTTTGGGTAGTTGCTCCTTGTTATTCACATTTTACTAATTGACGTTGGGGTAAAGGTCCCTGGCAACATTAGCTTTGTAAAAAGACAAGAAGGAGGAACAAAGACAAAAAGACAAGAGGGCCTTTGCCTTCTTGTTCAGCACTTTGCTGTTTAAACCATGCCCTGATTCCAGTCATGGGTTTTGGGACCTTTGTCTTTCTACAAGTACACCGCAACATGAAAGATAAACAGAACTTATGTTTATTTTGAATTTTCCCCCTGAACAAGCTCAGTTCTGGAGATTAAGTATTGATCAGCAGAGCCTTGTGCTGCTGTTGGATTGTGTGGGGGATGTGCAGAGACAGCCTGCTGCCTGCTCACTTTCCATGTCACTTGAAATCCCTTCTTATGCTACTTTACTGGGACACCCTGTCCTCCATATCCCTGGGATCCCCACATTGCTCCAGGTAAATCATAAGTGTTAAACTGCTTGGTCTGGTAGAACCAGACCTGCCCCATCACCTTCAAATCATTGACCCACTGAGTCAAAAATAATTACTTGTTATTGCCTTTATGAGTCCTCCACAGACACAAGAGGGGAGCCAACCCTGCTGAGCAGACTGAGAGCCCTTTCACTCTTTGGTAGCCATTAATCTTCTGATTTAACATGGAGTCTATATTTTGTTAAATTTAATTGAATTCACACAGAGGTCTTTAATCTGCACCTGCACCCACACAAGCAGAAAAATGCTATAATGGGAACCAGGCATCTTATGTGTTAGCAAATGTTCAACAAAACTGCAGCAACTGTCTAATGTCTGATAAGCAGTGCTTGCAAGCAGGAACCAAAACATACTAACAAAAGTACTAAAGAGAGAAAAACAAAAACTGGTTTTAGAATTTAACTAGGAAAGCAGTGCATCACATGAAATAAATGAAAGAAACCAAACAAACTACTATTAATGCTGTCCACTCCTGACAGATATTAATGCTTATTTTCATGAGCTTAAGGCAAAAATGAATAACTAACTCCTGTGGTTTCTTGAGCACAATATTCTCCGCTGTGCAAACTGCAAAGTGCAGAATGATTTTGCTGTTCGAACTTCTGTTTAGCAACAAAATAACAAAATTTAACAGAATTTTGAGAGTTTTTTCTGGAAAAAAAAAATAATTAATTGGTGTTTTACTGCTTGCTTGCTTCTTCTGGGTGCCAAGGAAAATAGGTCTGGTGCACGTATATACTCTGCCAGCATGCGAATTTGGAGAAGTAGAGACCTTGATGGTTGTGAGAAGCTACAGCTCCTTCCTAGCAGCACATTATGGGCAGCACAGTGATGTAAAGAAACAGATTCTCTAGTTCAAAGGACTTGATGACTGAATTCAGAAATAACTCACATTGGCTAACATTTGGGTGTTAATTTAGAGAAAAAATATTTCAGAATCCAAGAAGGACCTTAAGTTTTCATTCCCTAGATCTACTGACCTAAGGAGCCTAAGGAGATTTTATTTAGACCAGCCCTTCTGTTACATTCAGGCCTAACTCTTCTTGAAGAGTATCGTGAGAAGGAGCTTAAAGAAATAATAGAAGGCAGCAGCATCTATATAATCTCTTTTCTACTGCTATGAAACACAGAACATAATATCAGAAATAGCTGCGGACAGCACAATTGTGGCTAAATGTTTCAGGTCTGAGTCAGCAGGCTTTGAGGAAAGCCCTCTTCACCCATGCACCAGGTATCTCCCAAACAGCCTCCAGTAAACACTCTGACCAGCAGGTTTTTTTCAGCCTCCATCCCAGGCACACTGGTGCTTACCTAGGAGCCATCAGCTCCTTGTACTGTTAAGCAAGGTGAATAGAGCCACTCAGACAAAATAGGTACTGGTTTTGTTGCAATCCAAACACAGCCTCTTGTGTGACAGAGTTGTATTTGTTGTAGCCAAAGCAGGCACAGTATTCCTGTCCTTAAAAGCAAATGACCATGTTTTCAATTGCTGATAACACAATCAAAGTTCAGGACAGTTGTGTTGAAATTTTCTGCACCAGGGTCTTGTTCCAGGTTTCCTTAAAATCTGTCTGATCATATGAAAAATTCACAGTGTCAGCCTTGCAGCAAACTGGGGCTGGGCTCCCTCAGTCATGAAAGTGGATGATGCTGACATATCTTTAAAAAGCCTGGTGTTAACTCAGTAGCACAGGACAAATTTTCAGGTAGAAAACATTTTATGGAGAATATAAAAGGCATATCTACTTTCAGATGTAGTGGGCAATTCAAGATAATTCTAGAGACAAACCTCAACACTCTTGTAGCAGCAGCTCAATCAGAGACCTAAGATAAATTACGAAGAAAGAGTTGAACAATTTTACTTGTTTCCACTAAAAAAAAAGACCAGCAGCTGTGGATCTTCTAGGTCTTCAATATGTACACAGTGCTGTACTTTGGAAAGGTATATATTACCACATTGAGGGGAGAGGTTTGGATGGACATTATGAAAAACAAAACAGTGACAAAGACAGCAAAATGCTGGCCTCAATTAGGTGTCATTGTGTTAGTATGGAGCTAAATGTAGCCTGGGCTTGTCTCAGTAAAGGAATTAAACACACACACACCAGGGATACGGCAATTATTTTTTCAGCGACTATCCGATAATTCAGCAAAAGGCAGGGATGAGGAGATAACATGGTCAAGTATGCTGATTTCAACAAGATATGATAAAAATCACATTATACTCACACACACACAAATTATATCCTTTTTCCAAAGTTGGAACAGACAATAATTTCAAAAAATACCTTCACAGAGAGGAGGGGAGGATAATAGCATTGCTGTTTCCTCTTAAAATCTTGAAGGATATTAGAGTTCAGTGAGTCATGCACTAGAAATGAGCTCGTTGAAATTAATGTGTGGAAAAATCTCAGGCGAGTAATTGGTGATGATAGAGTCATAAATAGAGTCATTAATGATAGATGCCTTTTAATGGAGTCAAGGCAAAGAAATAAAAGGATCTCTCGTTTTGATGACGTTTTTCCTCTACAGAGAATTATTTATACCCAAAACCCAGGTGGGTTGATCAGCTACTTTGGTAGTTATCAGCTGTCATTCCAGACATATAGGAAGATGAACTGACAATCCTCTTTTTCTTCATGTCAAAAGCTAAACTTTAGTCTCTCTAAATGCACCAGGACAGCACAAAAATTGTTTTTCCTGGCAAATGTTTGGCCCAGTATTAATTGATAATTATTAAATTATCAGAGGCTCTTGATCTCCCAGTGTTCTGTAAATGCTATTTTCCATCTGAATATAACATCCATCGGCAGCTACAGGTGTCTGAAGAGTCAGAGCAGAGCTGTGTGTCACCTGGGAGAGCAGGTAAGAACAAAAGGAGAGGCTTTGAGGGGAGCAGGGCATTTGTTCTGCAGCACAAACATTAACACTTCTGCAGCTCTGGTTTATCAGCCATCAGGGGCAGGATGGGATTCACCAAGGACAGGAAGGTCCCCACCCTAATTCAGGCGCAGCTGAAAAAACAATCTGATGCTAGTTCAGTGTCCAAGGAAAGGAAGGAGCAAGGAGTCCTTTACAGGAAGCAGAAACAGGGAAATGCAGAAAGTATGAGGAGGCAACTACACGTAGTTTGCTGGAGCTGAGGTCCGAGGCACTCGGGGGGGGGGTGTCATTCCAGTCTGCCAACCTCCAGTTCAAAATTACACATCCTGTTGTAGGCAGCTGTCATCTCTCCAGAAAAAGATGAGATTTAGAAACAAGAAGTGGCCATGGCTCATTCCCTCACCTTCAGTGAATCTTCCTTAAGGAATGTTTTTGAGAAGCAGCAAGAACTTTGGGGCAACGTGCAATACATTTTTTAAGTGTTGAAGGAAAAAATACCTGACACAAGAACAATATTCCTATGGCTTTACATTTGAAACACTTGGAC